CTTCAGCTCATGACCCAAAGATCAAGAGTTGAATGCTCTATGGACCGAGCCAGTCAGGCACCCCCAGGGTGACCTTTTATTTTTTTTAAGATGTTATTTATTTATTTGAGAGAGGACGCGTGCGTGTGTGTGTGTGTGTGTGTGCGCACAAGCAGGGAGAGGGGCAGAGGGGTTGAGAGAGAGAGAATCTCAAGCAGACTCCATGCTGAGCGTAGAGCCGGAAATGGGGCTTGATCCCTTGACCCTGATTATCATGACATGAACAGAAACCAAGAATCAGACGCTTAACTGGCTGTGCCACTCAGGTGCCCGAAGAGTGACCTTTTAAAAAATAAATCAGATCATGCCACTTTCCTGCTTAAGGTGCTTCGATGGCTTCCTGCTGAACTTAGGATCAAACCAAACCAAACCACATTGCCGGAGATGGCCATCCCTGCACAAACTGGCCTATGTTTTCAACTGAACCGCTTTTCATCTCATAACTGAAGTTCTTACCTGTCCCTTTTATGCCTTGACCATGCTCATCTTGTCCCTGCATTAGGGCACTTGCATGTGGCTCCCTTCAGCTAGAATACGCTGTCCCAGCTTTTTCCTTGTTAACTCACTTCTCATTCTTTAGGTCTGTTCACATGTTATCACCTCCCCAGAGGTCATTCCTGAGTACGTGGTTTAAAGTAGTCCTTCCCTCAAACCCCACTGCCCTCACATGACCTTGTTTTATTTCCTCCCCAGGACTTCCCAGTCTGGGAGGATCTTTTTTTTTTTTTTTATACACAATAATATTTTTTTATACACAATAATATTATTAAGGGTTATTTATTTCAGAAACTATCCACAATATGTTATTTTTTTATTATGTTATGTTACTCACCATACATTACATTATTAGTTTTTGATGTAGTGTTCCATGATTCATTGTTTGCGTATAACACCCAGTGCTCCATTCAGTATGTGCCCTCCTTAATACCCATCACCGGGCTAACCTCTCCTTCCACCCCCCTCCCCTCTAGAACCCTCAGTTTGTTTCTCAGAGTCCATAGTTTCTCATGGTTCGTCTCCCCATCCGATTTTCCCCCTTCATTCTTCCCTTCCTGCTATCTTCTTCCTTTTTTTTTTAGCATATAATTTGTTTCAGAGGTACAGGTCTGTGGTTCAACAGTCTTACACAATTCACAGCGCTCACCATAGCACATACCCTCCCCAATGTCTATCACCTAGCCACCCCATCCCTCCCACCCTCCACCACTCCAGCAACCCTCAGAATGAAATCTTGCCATTTGGAATGACTGGATGGGAGGACCTTGTTAATTTATTGTTAGAATACAAGCTATATAAGGAGGGAGAAAATGCAAACAGCAGGGGGAGCAACTGAAGAATAAAAGTTCAGGAAAAGCCAGGCGCCTGGGTGGCTCAGTTGGTTAAGCGACTGCCTTCGGCTCAGGTCATGATCCTGGAGTCCCGGGATCGAGTCCCGCATCGGGCTCCCTGCTCGGCAGGGAGTCTGCTTCTCCCTCTCACCCTCCCCCCTCTCATGTGCTCTCTCTCAAATAAATAAATAAATAAATCTTAAAAAAAAAAAAAAAAAGTCAGGAAAAGCCAAAGGAGATGGGATCGAGTTCCAGGGAGGAATGAAGTACTCTTGCTTTCTCCAAAACTAGACACATTAGGGAATCTGAGGTGTAATGCATTATGCAACCTGATGAGTTCTTTTCCCATCAGCCTCTAATTACATGATGCAATTGGTTGTAGGCATAGCAGCGAACTATGTCAGCAAGTTCTATAAGATATGCTGTGTATATGGGCTGGAGGTCATCCTTTTCTAGATTCTTTTTTCCTTGAGTCTACTAAGCTTAGCAAGAGAATCACTGGCCCATATCATATATGCAAAAAGGTCTTCATAGATGTTGTTGCTATTATTTTACCGTATGCATAATTCTAAAGGAGGTACACCCGGCCTGAAGCACCAGGAAGCAACATTTGGTGGAGGCCCACGATGCCCCCAACCGGGCTTCAGCATTCTTCCTGAGAGATAGTGAACTCAGATTTACAATGCATGTGGGTTTTTTTTTTTTATTTTTTTCCTGTGGGCTTAAAAATGATAAAGCATTACATTCATACAATCCTGCTCTGAAAGATTACAATAATATTATTATAACCTCATTTTCTGCTGAAAGGTAGAAATAAGATTTGCTCCAGACTAAACAGGAAGTCAGTAATAAAATTATAACCACTGGTTAATCCAGGCTTTCTGACTGTGCATGCATTACATTCTTTACACACTCTAAGACTTACGCTGACAACTACCAGCAACACTATTGGCATTCTTTTTTTTTTCTTTAAAGATTTACTTACTTATTTGAGAGAGAGAGAGTGCGTATGCGTGCACAGGAGGGAGAGGGAGAGAGAAACCCAAGCAGACTCCCTGCTGAGCATGGAGCCCAATGTGGGGCTTGATCTCACCACCCTGAGATCATAACCTAAGCCAAAACCAAGAGTCTGACACTTAACGGATTGAGCCACCCAGGCGCCCCCACTATTGGCATTCTTTTCAAGGCTTCACCTCTCCCCTCACTCCCACCCTAATGTAGACAACCAGGTATGCATGCTTCACATGTCATGGTGCCTGCAAGGCAGATGAGAAAAATATTAAAGATGAATGTTTATAACTACCCACTTCTCAGTGTTTGGTTTTGCAGGTTTCCTTTGCATTGCTGGGAGATGCTGGGAGGCTGAGGAAGGGAAGTTGGCAGTGGGTGGGAAGCTGAGTGCAAATGAAGAACCAGCACCAGCGGCCTGATTTAGGGGCCGGGCCATGGTGAAGATCCAGCAGCTACCACAGAGAATGGAGACAGTTAATGATTTGTAATGAGTCAGGCTGTACTAGGTCCACGGAAACTTTCCTAAAAGATAAACATTACTTGCCTCCAAAATATTTACAGTGGGCACTATGCTTTTTTTCCACCTTTTTTTTTTTTCAATTTGTCATTTTGAAATCGGCCTTGAGGTGAGGTAGAATAGCTTGACCCAGCGGACTGAGGTACATTCCAGAAAAGTCCATGTCCAAGGAGAGTCATTGGGTGAGGACTATGGACGTGGCTGGGTATGAGGGTGCTGAGAGCGCCCTCTGCCCAGCTCTGTTGTCTAGAAGACTACCGCCAACCACTTCAGGTACAGCTCAGCTAAATTCCCATGAAGCTCTCCTTGCCAATTCCTCTCTAGTACCTTGAGGAGCCTGGGGTCTGTCCAGAACACACAGGGCCCTCTGAACCTACCCCCCTTTTAATAACAGTCCTGTCTCTATTTTATTTTTCTAATATATACATGTGTATATAAAATCTCTACATCTGACATGGGGCTCGAACTCACAACCCGAGATCAAGAGTCACATCGTCCACCGACTGAGCCAGCCCTTCCCTATTTTAAAAGACTTCTCGGCCTTTTGGCTAGGATCAAGTGTAAAAGACTCCTGTGATACCTTCTTCCATCTCCAAACAAACTCATGCTAAAGGGAAGCCCCAATAAGCCCCAACCCAGCTCTGATTACAGCCCATTCAATGCACTTACGCTTCAAATCCTCTGTAGTCACACAAATATGACCAAATTAAGATCCGGAACATGTATAAATAAGTTTATGCACCTAATATTTACATAGTTTAATATTAATTAAACCTACATTGTATGCATGGCTGTGCTTGCCATCGATGGATATGCCTATCTTTAGTCTAGACTCACACATTTCTATCACCAGGCTACGTTTTGGGTATGACAGCGTCCCAGAGTTGGAAGGTCCTGGGTTTGAATATTGTTTCTCTCATTATTATATGGCTTGTATGAAGGGGAACCTTCGGAGGAGAAAGGGTAGGTAGACTTGGAGACTCAGTGGCCCCATAAAACCATCATAATTTTCACCGCCAATGGTAGGCTGTTCTGAACTGCGGGCAGTATTTTTTTGACATTTCTTTTTTTTTTTTTTAAGATTTTATTTATTTATTTGAGAGAGAGAGTGAGAGAGAGAAAGAGCACAAGAAGGGGGAGCAGGAGAGGGAGAAGCAGACCCCCCGCCGAGCAGGGAGCCCGATGCGGGACTCGATCCCGGGACTCCGGGATCATGACCTGAGCCGAAGGCAGCCGCTTAACCAACTGAGCCACCCAGGCGCCCTTTTTCTGACATTTCAAACAAGCTCTCACGTTAGTCCATTTCAAGGCCCGTCCAAGGGCCACACATACGTTGTGAATCTGTCTTGGGTCCGCACTGGAAAGAGAAGGCTTTTCTCAAAGTCTAAGTGGAGGAGAAAAGAGGGAAAACAAGTTTCGTCCTGAATCAAGAATTTACTTTGAGCCCAAGCACTGTTTAAGTTCCCGCGTGGAGAGAAACCAAAAAAAGTCTGACTCACATTCTGTCGGGCCGCAAGCTTAGCAATCAGCACAGAACAATCAGTGACTTAGGAGGGGCGCCGAGGGGCCGGTGACAGAAGCGACCAGACACTCCGCACGCCGCGGTGCCAGCCGCCCGCAGTCCCCCGCCGCCTCTGGCCGCGGGGCGCCCGGCGCAGGCGCAGGCGCACACCGCCCCGCTCGAGGGGACGGGCTCCGGCTGCCATCTTGCTGCGCGCGGGAGCCGCCGCCGCTCGCCGGTCCGCAGGGCGGGAGCCGAGCGTGTCCAGTCCGGATCGCGGTCCCCTTCCACTGCCAGCCCTGCCCAGCGGCCTGCCCGGCCCCAGCTCCAGGCCATGAACTGACCCATCGCCCGCTGCCCGACTCTTAGCAGCGGCCCGCCCCGGTGCCCACCCCCGCGAAACGCAGCGCCCGGGCACCCGTCCTCCCCGCCGGCCGCGATGCCGAACGTGCAGCTGCCGCCCAAGGAGAGCAACCTTTTCAAGCGCATCTTGGTGAGTGGCCGAGGCCGCGCTCCCGACCCTGCGCGGTGCGGCGAGCGCCTGGCGGCGGCGGCGCTCCCACCAGCCGGGCTCGGCCCGGTCCGGGCTCCGTTCTTTGTTTACCTCCGAGCCGGGGCGACCTGAGCTCTCGCCTCGGCCGGCCGCCCCTCCGCGCGCTTCGTCCCTCTGCGGCCGCTCGCCGCGCCCCCGCCGCGCCCCGCAGTCCCTCTGGGCCAGGGCGCGTCGGCCCGGGGGTGAGCCCCGTGGCCTCCGCGGCTCTCTGAGGCCGGACTCGCGACCTCTGCACCCCCCGCCCCGCCCATCCTCCCGTGTGTTTCTTTTCCCCTCGGCCGGGTGTTCATTCACTGCTTCGTGCTTAACCCATTGCACAGAGCGCGCCGGTATCTGCTAAAGATGGGGCGATCGTATGGTGGAGTGGGGCTCCGACTTATACCGGTGATGGGAAAATTAAACCCTGGGAAGCCAAGCCTCCCTTCGCGAGAGACTTTGCTCGTTTTTGGTGTACTGTACTTGCCTTCTTTAAGAAGCGAATAAGCGACTTGAACTGCATTTCCAAGTTACAAAGTCGAACACCGCTCTTGGGTCGCTTTGAACTCGTTCAGGTCCTGACTCGGCAAAGTCGCGCGGACTGGCTGATTTTACTCTGGAGGGGAGCCTTTACTTTGTTTCCAAGCAGAAACCTGAATAATGACCCGGTCGAGATGGCCGCTGCCGGCCGGGAAGGTTTTCCGTAGATTGTGTGCCAGTGTCCCCGGTGCCTTCCCTTGTTTCCCAGGTCCCGTTCTTCCAGGGAGGAGAGGCAACATGCCTTTGCTTTTCTCAGCAGGCACTGGAGACTGTGGATTTTAAACTGCTGTTGTACGTAGTGTTTTTTTCTAGTCTGTCATTTCATCTGAATATAAGCGTTTAGATTTTAAGAGTGAATTTATGATTTAGAGCTTGTGTCGGTTATATGACTGTATGCTTACCTTTTCTATAAATAAAATACTAAGTTTAGAATAGTTTTAAATGTTACCGATGGTAGGTAGGAATTCATAGCAGCTGTTCGGTTTCCAGCCAATAGAAACTTCATGCTTCTTCAAAATGTTAAAAAGATACTTAGTAGATGGGATTAACATTTTAAGTCTTAATTTTATATGGTACTTAGTGTTGAGCGAATAATGAGACAAGTTTAAAAACAAAAAAATTCTAATTAAAGCATTGTGGCAGATTGCTTCATTGGGCGTTTTGTATATTTTTTGTTATTTTAGTTTCGTTTTTTCCATACCCTTATTTTTTCACAGGGTGGATTTGGAGAAGTGAACTTTTTGCCCCCTTCAGGCTCATCTATAAGTTGTTGGTTGGATTTAAGTACATTTGGCATTATCCCTAAAGGATGACAGAACACTTATTTTCACTCTATCTGGGTATTTTCTCGTTCAAATCGTGTTATCAGTAGATTATAAAAAAACAATTACATGACTTATTATACTCTAGTTACAAAAAGTTACAGCTGCTGCTGAGTTAACTTTATCCCTAAATAAATTGGGAAATGCTAAACATGTTTTTCTCTGGGTATGTAATAATTATTATAAGGTTACATGAATTTAGGAGGGTGCTGCAAAAGTGAGTGATTTTAGCATCTCACCATAAATGTGGGTAGAATTTTGCTACAATAACTCCCTGACAAAATCTCTATTAAAATTATTTTTCAAGTTTGGTTGGTGGACCAAAGTGCTCTGCCACCAATAGTAAATTTTTTTTTTTTTTAGGTTATTTTATTTTATTTTACTTGAGAGAGCTCACTCCCATGCATGAGTGCAGGAGGGGGGGTGGGGTAGAGGGAGAGGGGGATGGAGACTCCCTGCTGAGTAGGGAGCCCAAGCTGCAGGGCTCCATCCCAGGATCCTGAGATCATGACCTGAGCTGAAGGCAGATGCTTAAACAACTGAGCCACCCAGGTGCTCCCCCCGCCGAGTATTCATTTTTTTAAAAATGAACTATGAATGTACTTAAACACATCCATACAAATTTAGTAGCTAGCTTATTACATGTTCTGCACGGCTTGTACATGCCTGTCTTATTCCCCAAACTGGCTATTAGCTTTAGGTTTTGTTGAATTTTGGAGCTACTCCATGCTTTCTTTTGCCAATGAAACAACCAAACCCAGGAATGGTAAATGATTAAGTGTCTGAGGTTCTCTGGTTAGTAGCAAAGTTGAAACTAGAATCTAATTTTGTACTAAGTATATATTCCTTTAAATATATACTTTTTTTTAAACCTGTGTACTTGCTTGCTAGGGACCGACAACATGGTTTGAATTAGGGCTCTGATACATATTAGCTCTGTAAACTCAGTAACTGTGTGCCTCACTCTCTCCATCTGAATTGGAGAGAACCTGTATTTCATAGGCTCTCCTGGGATTTAAATAAGGCTTAAGTGAATGGTACCTGACACTAGTAATTGCTCCCCCAAAGTATTAACAATTATTATTACTACATATTGGTAGTATGATTATTAGTATTTCCAGATCACTTGGTAAGTCAGAAAAAACCCATATTTCTCTTTTTTTTTAAAGATTTTATTTATTTATTTGACAGAGAGAGAGAGAGCACAAGCATGGGGAGCGGCAGGCAGAAGGAGAGGGAGAAGCAGGCTCCCCATTGAGCAAGGAGCCTGACGTGGGGCTCGATCCCAGGACCTGGGATCATGACCTGAGCCTAAGGCAGTCACTTAATCAACTGAGCCACCCAGACACCCCTCATATTTCTCTTCTTTTCCTGTTTGCCAGTGGTTCCTTCTGCTTGTTTTTCTTCTTGTCATTTGTCAGATGAACTCCTATAGTCAACACTATTTTTAATTTTAATTTTATTTTTAAAGATTTTATTTGAGAGAGAGAGAAAACACGAGAGAGAGTGTACAAGCAGGGGGGAGGGGCAGTGGGAGAGGGACAAGCGTAGTCCCCACTGAGCAGGGAGCCTGACATGGGGCTCCATCCCAGGACCCTGAGGTCATGACGTGAGCCGAAGGTGGACGCTTAACCGACTAAGCCACCCAGGTGACCCTTTATTTTTATTTTAAATATTTTAGGAATGGGAATATATTCAGATGATTCGAAATTCAGGTTTCTCTCCCATCCTTGTCTCCCAGCTACTAGGTTCCCTTCCCCAGATGCAACCAAGAAGCCTCAATTTAAACATTTTTTTCTATGAACTCTTTTCTAATTCTCCCCTCCACATTCCACCCCTGCTGCAAAGATTAACCACCTCCTCCTTCTTTGCTGGTACTGTTTTGCTTTAAACCTCGTAGACTATTTTTTGAGCAGTCCTAATTTGTGTAGACCCTGAGGATGCAGCAACGTTTAAAATAGACAAGATCTCTGTTCTCATGGAGCTCATACAGTCTGGTGAGGAAGATAGACACTAAGTAAGTAATCAAGTAAGAATTTCAGAGAATGATAGTGCTGTGTAGAAAATGGAATAATGTGATAGAGAATATGTGTGTGGGGCGGTGGGAGGCTGGAAGTATTAGATAGAGTGGTCAGGCAGGTGATATGTGAAATTCTGCTGGTAAGGAAGATCTGGGGAAGAACATTTCAAGTAGAAGGAACACACATGCAGAGGCCCTGAGGTGGGCACAAACTTGGCATGTTGAGTACTAGAAAGAAAACCCATGGCAACATAAGAGGGAGGGTAAATAGAAGATGATGAGATGTTCTTGTGATTAGTGGCTGTGGTAGACAGGTGCTGATTACTTAGCAAGTGGTATTTAGGAAGAAAGGTGTTGCTCACACTTGTATTAGCCTAGTGATGGAAAGATCATGGTCTTTGGAATCAGACCAGAGTTTGCAAGTAGGCTGAGGTATTTATAAGCAAATTTTATGAACTCTTAAAATTTCAATTTTTGCATCTGTAGGGAGGAGGTAATGACACCTACCTTGAGGGACACCTATGAGATATATAACAAGTTTTATCTGGACACGTAGTAGTTGCTTGTGTGTGTGTGTGTTTGTGTGTGTGTGTGTGTGTATGTGTGTATGCCTTGGTTCAGTTCTTTTTTTTTTTTAAGATTTTATTTATTTATTTGAGAGAGAGAAAATGGGAGAGAGAGAGAGAGAGCACACAAGGTGGGGGAAGGGCAGAGGGAGAAGCAGACTCCCCGCCGAGCAGGGAGCCCGATGTGGGACTCGATCCCGGGATTCCAGGATCATGACGTGAGCCGAAGGCAGTCGCTTAACCAACTGAGCCACCCAGGTGCCCTCCTTGGTTCTGTTCTTGAAGTGGCAAAGACATAATGCAGTTCCTAGTATTTTTCTGTGTTGTTATCACATATTTTTTGCTTTTGGATTTTGAATTTTAAAAGTTGTAGCAGTATTGGCTGACAATTAAATTCCCTTTTTATTAAGTGGGTTTTTCCCCCTTTTTTTCTATAAAAGTGAAAATACTCATACTAGAACAACTTGGCAAGAAGTAGGTAACAAAAATATACCTCATGTTATAAGTGATAGAAATTGATATAACACCTTCCCATCACATATGTTTTAGATCCAATTTTGGACCTTGAATTTAGAATTTATATAATGCAAAGAAAAGCTGCTCCCTATATATTCATTTTATTAAATAATTTTGTTCGTATTTCTTTACAGAAATGCTATGAACAGAAGCAGTACAAAAATGGCCTCAAGTTTTGCAAGATGATTCTTTCGAATCCAAAATTTGCTGAACATGGAGGTACTGTCTCATCTGTGAGAGACTGCTTTGGGGAAATCTAATTCCAGGATCAGACAGATAAGATTCCTAACGGTGAAAGAAGAATACTTCCCAGATTCCATGACCTTGTAGCTGTTTATTAGAACATATAAACATTTTTAGTCATGCATCATACCAGTCTTGTTCTAGGTTACCTTCCTTTTATTACGCTTAGGTGGGTGCACCATCTTCACTTTAAATGAGTGAATGGTTGTTTGATCTGTTGGGGAATAATTGGAGTATATAACAGTACTTTTAGAGACTTCGTTTCATCTATTACTTTGGGTAGAACTTAAGTTTATGCTTTTCTTATGTATGTGAAATGAAGACAATATCTGCAGTACAGAAGTAGTATGAAGATACAATCACATGTATTTTATTCTCTGGTAAATGTCATTCTTATATATCTGCTGACCTTTATGTATAAATAAATTAGATACTATTGATTTACCATTAGATTGCTTATCTTGAGCTGTTTCTCCAGCACTGGTGTTACTAGGTCTCTATTTGCTTGTCTCATCCTTTTCCACTGGTGACTGGTGCTTGTTTGAAG